GGGAACAGGAAATGGAGGAGCACGTAGTGGGGGAACAGGGAATGTGCAAAACTACCTTGCGGTCGAACTACGAACGCGTCAGCAGGACCATGGCGAATGTCAGAATGTGGTGTTTGTCTAGCCTGCAGTGGGGTACTCTATAGCGAGTACAGCCCGAATTAGGGTTTGCTATATGTACTCAACTGCCTGCTAGTGAAAACCCCTCTTTCCTGTTTCTCATTCCTGCCTGTAGATTCTAACATGCTATTAGAGCAGGTCAACCCTCCTGGGTCGATCCTGTGGGTGGTCCCGCCCGATGCTTCCGCTGCTGTTCTTCCCACCGCGCGCCTGCCCCGTCAACCCGCGCGCCCTCCCCCGAGCTACTGCCCACGCACCGCCCCCCCCGCTGCTGCCTGTGTTAGGGTTTGGGGGTGGCGAGTGTGGGGGTGGCGAGTATGGGGGTGACGGGTGTGTGCGCCGTCCCCTGCTCCTCCTCCTCCTCTGTCTCCCACTGCTGCAGCTGCCGCTGAGGGGGGTGGATGTGTTGGAGCCGTCGGAGTCGTATGAGGGGGGTGGCATGTGAGCAGTCCTAGAGGTACAGCAGGGGGTGTGTGAAAGAAGTGTGGGACAGCTAGGGGAAGTTGAGTGGAGGCAGCCGTCTTGTCGTCCGCAGCGCCTGTAGTCCAGAGAGCCAGCTGCGTCTGTGGCCGTGTATGTAGTTCGGGTATAGCCTGGTAGCCACAGTGTGAGCACTCCTGGTAGTCCAGAGAGCCAGCTGCGTCTGTGGCCGTGTAGTCCGGGTATAGCCTGGTAGCCACAGTGTGAGCACTCCTGGGAGCACATAGAGCCAGCTGCGCCTGTCGCCGTGTAGTCCGGGTATAGCCTGGTAGCGACAGTGCTGCGCACTCCTGTTGCCCGTGTGTCTGTAGCTTCAGCCGTCGCCTCCCATCTTCTCGCCTCCACAGTTTCTCCTCCTCCTCACTTGCCCTCTGTGATAGTCTCTAGCTTTGCTTATCATTGTGAACTACTGCTCTGCCTGCTTGTTGTGTTGATTGTACCCCACTTTGACTATGGGGTTGTGTCAGAATGTGATGTTTGTCTAGCCTGCAGTGGGGTACTCTATAGCGAGTACAGCCCGAATTAGGGTTTGCTATATGTACTCAACTGCCTGCTAGTGAAAACCCCTCTTTCCTGTTTCTCTTTCCTGCCTGTAGATTCTAACACGCAAGTCCTGCCTAAACGCCATGCGCGGTTCGCTACCTGCTATTAGAAATGTGTCGATTTCGGTGCGCTCCTTACGGTGTCGGTCATGCTATTGCCTTGGACGCAATGTTGGACGTCCGCTTACAGGTCTACGTTCCCCGATTTCCCTTTTGTTGATTTGCTTTGTTATATGTCGTGGCCCTGGTCGTCACGACGAGTACTATCCGCCAATGACACAGAGTGGGGCCTTAAAATGCGCTTCGATATCGGAAATCGTATACTAGGCAGCTTAGTCAGGTATGCTTTCGATGATTATTCTACTTGGAATTACCTTGTCTTCACACGCCTTGCTACTATGAATATCGCATACTCTCGTCGCTACTGTGACACCCCCCGTGTGGCGTCTTTTCTACTGTGTTCCCGCTAAAACCGGCCACGTTGCCGCTGTCTCTTCTAAGATAACAATAGGCATCAATGAGCACGTTAATGGTCGTGTAACCCATGCCCAACTTGAAGTTCAAGTGGACCCAACTAGAATGTCTGCGCATTCGCACCCCAGCTTTCCGACCTTGTTCACACGTAGATTTGTTTCCCAAGTTCCGTGTGAAAATGCACAGCCAGTTTGCGCGCGACAATTGTCAGTTGCCGCAACCAATTGCAGTGGTTGGTAAACACTTCCTCAATCGCAGGCCAATCATGTAGCTGCATTGTTTCTCTCGTCAATTTTGTCAGACCGAACAGTAAGTTTCCCCCCGTACCCTTGCCAAAGCCTCACCCTCCAAGCCCCAGCGATCCTCGGTCATTTCAAGCTAGGCCCGGGTGCACAATTTTGCAGTCTCGTTTAAAGGGGTACACTCCCTTATTGCAGCAAAATCCAACCGTGCGACTCCAGACGGTTACGAACTGCTTGGGCAGAATCCTGGCCACTGCTGCTGCCTGATGCTGTCTGCCCTGACGGTCCAGATGCTCCGTAACCGTACGCGACTCTCCGCGTCATTCTGCAGCTTCGCATTCAGTCTCGGTATTGTGTGCTTCACTTGCTGCAGTTAAGAGTGCACAATGTCTTTCCCATTTCACTATTCATAACACCTCCCCATATATTTTTCAGGCTTCGTTGTATTGACAGCAGTTGTGATTACAGCTTTGTCATGCACTTCCGTGCAGCTTTTTCATTTACAACTCTCAACATTTAGTAGCATAAAAAACTAGTTATACGCCCTTAGGTGTAAGGTGCTATAAATTCTAAAACAGTTCGAAAGATGTTGCGTGTAGCCCCACTCTCACCTTTCAACCGAGTCAACGGGTTGAGTCAGATGAGTCATGGTGACCTGCATGAAGCTAGAGCTGGCCTAGGATCGCTGCCGATGCCAGATCACATAGGCGCGCTTTATTCAGACTCACCTACCTTCCGCCCTCATCCGCAGCGCCTTCCACTGTCGAGCCACTGCCAAGCCTCGTGTCACCAAGCGAGGCCACTTGTTTGCTGGCGACCGCGGCCGCGCCGCGCCAGGAGTATCAAGCGGTAAGCACCCTTAACTTGCCGAATTCGATGATAACGACGCGCCGAGCATTCCTTCGTGCACGGAGAAGGCTGAACATCCGAATAGCGACGGTGGGGAGGAATGATAGCGCAGCCCGCCGGAGTGGCGTTTTTGTGAGTATGCTGCTGCGTGAGGCGTTTTTCCGGCAGGCGCATTCGCGAGGACTCATGGATCAGGAAACGTAGACACCCGAAGGGCTCGTTTGTGCGTGTGTGTGTGTGTGTGTGTGTGTGTGTGTGTGTGTGTGTGTGTGTGTGTGTGTGTGCACATGTTGTGCGCGCGCGCGCGCGTGCGTGCGTGTGTGTGCGCGCGCGCCCGCGTGTGCATGTGTGTGTGTGTGTGTGTGTGTGTGTGTGTGTGTGTGTGTGTGTGTGTGTGTCTGTGTGTGCGCGCGCGCGCGCACGCGCGTGCGTGCGCGTGTGCATGCGTGTATCTGTCTTGGTGCGAGCGCGCACGCACAGGCACCGTTGCTGTCTGCATCTGTGTAGCCAGCATGCAGCTCAGCAGCCGTACACATGAGTCAGAACCTTCGTTCAGGTCTCTGCAGTCAGCATGCACCAGCCTAGTTTCGTGGCGCCTCAAAACTGCCTACATCTGTATACTACAGTAGTCAGTGGCGTGCAGCCACACCCATGAGTAGGAACCTTCACTCTTCATTCAGCAGGCAGGCACCGGCAGACCACAGCAGCTAGCGCGCTGTGGATCCGGCGCTCTAGGCCTAGCAAGCCCAGAACAGCAACAAGCTCGGCCAGTTGTGATTAGATAAGTGTAAGAAGAGAATCTTTGAGACGTCTGAAAAATCACTTTCTTCACGATAATTGCACTCCCCACAGACTCATTCAACACCCCGGCAGTGTTGCACTCGACAGTTGACAACATGTTGAGCAATCCAGTCACTAGATCACGTATACTTATTTCCCAGTATGCAATATTTGGTTTTCTGTCTGTTGTCCGTCTACCCGCCCACCCTGCAGAGAAGCTCACTGGGTCACATTATGATGTGGCAACATGAGCATGGAAAGATGGCACTGCAGGGAAAGACGCATGCTCACTCCGTGTTGTTTCTGCTGGCGATGATATGCGCGTTGTTGTGTGCCTGCTGTAGCAGAGAGTCTTCCGCGCAGCTGCTTCACTCCACCCAAAGTGCGCTCTGCGCGGTGTTGGTTGGTTGGTTGGTGTCAGTGCACTTGAACAGAATGCGAACAGCAGCAGAGACTGGTGCTGGCGTTCCTATGTTCACTCTCCCTCTCGTCAACAACCCACGTGGACATCACTGCACACATGCACTTACGTGCAAGCAATCACATGCACACTCATGCAGAAGTCACACATGAAAGAGGACTCTCCTCACATTGCTGCTCCTCTCCCTCCCACTCTTTCAACCACCTCAGCCTGCATTGCACCCACTGTACATCCATCCCTCCCTTCTCACAATCGTGTCAACGTTGCCTTCTGCTCTTCTCTGCTCTTCTCTTCTCCGCTCTGCCACCCCGTTTCTCCATACCCACCAACCCCATGCTGTGCCCCATGTGGCACCGTCAGTATGACCGCCTTTCCTGCAGCGCCTGGTGTGTTCGAGTCGACTCAAAACTCACCCCGCCTAACCCGCCAACCCCATGCCACACTGTCGCGTCCAGCGCATGTGATGCAGATGCTGGCGGATGAGTGGGGCTCATTCCCCCAATCCCTCCAGTGGAAGTTCAAGTACGATTGTCGGAAGATGCTAGGCGTCACGTGCACAACAGATGGCTTTGTCAAATCTCTGTAAGCAAGCACTTCCCTGCTCAGCTTAGCACCATCATGATGCGTATCACAGACACCTGTTCAGCCATTGCATGTATGCAGTCGCGAACTGGTCTTGGTGGGCCAACAAAGTGGTCCGTATGACTGGCATATATGCCATCCAATCACCCGCTATTGAGAAATCCCAAAGGTTGAACGACACAAATGTCATCCACCACTCACTGTGCCTGTGTCTCACTGCGCTTTCAGTGGTCATCATGTGTTAAAGCCTGTGTCTTCTTCATTTCTTACCCCGGGGGCCACAGATTGGCGCCATGCCATTGTCATACACTCAGTGCTGAGTGTGTGTGTGTGTGTGTGTGTGTGTGTGTGTGTGTGTGTGTGTGTGTGTGTGTGTGTGTTTTTTTGTTTTTTTGTTTTTTTTTTTTTTTTTTTTTCGCTTCATAGATATTCTATAGCTAGCTCTTCTAGACTTCTACATGTGTGAACATGCCCCTCCTCCATGTTCCTGCTGTCTTCATGCTCTGTCACCAGGAGTGTGAGTGAGCAGGCTCTCATGAAGCCAATTCCAGATGCCATTAGCGGTCTGCAGAGGCTTCAATCACTGTGAGCCACGCTATTTCCCTCCTGTGCTTTCTCACTGTATCTATTCGCTTCGTCCATCCCAGCATTCACTGTGCCCTTTCTTCCGTACCTCTCTACTTCTGCACAGGAAACACTGGCTGTGCCTGTTATGCTTTTGCTTTTGAGTCGACTCAGAAGCGCACCTCTCCACTTCATTACACACCAAGCACTGGCTGCGCCTGAAATTTCTGTGCTCGGTGTGCACCGAAGCTGCTTTTTCCTTCCCCATGCTCTGAATCTGTGCCTATGCTGGCGAATCCCGTGACTGCGCATGCTGCAATCAAGTATGCTTTGTGCTGCTTGCTCACAGGCGAGCTTCCCGAGATAATGAAGAAAATATCACAAGATATACGTCAGTATACGCCAACGTGCCCATGCTTCACCTTGTGCCGGTGCCTGCCTGCCTCCCCCTGCCTGCCTGCCTGCGTGCCTGCCTGCCTGTCAGCCTCTGCCTCTGCCTCTGCCAATTGCTCCATGCAGCACTCTGAAAAACTGCCACCTGCTGGGCCCACTGCCGTCCGCACTCTTCACTCTGCGCCACCTCACTGAACTGTGAGCTCCACTGCACCCCCTGCATTTCCTGCACCTCCTGCAGCCCCTACTAGAGCCTGGGAACTGTGTGCTGTGCGTATGGCTCGTGAGAGGGCCTTCCTGCGTCCGATTGTGAACTCTCATTTCTTGGAGGTTGCGAGCGAGCTAGAACTGCCTGTCATGACATTGAATAAGGCTGGCTCCCGAAAGCTGATCAAGGTTCTTGCTCCCAAAAGCTGATCAAGGTTCTTGCTCCCAAAAGCTGATCAAGGTTCTTGCTCCCAAAAGTTGATCAAGGTTCTTGCTCCCTAAAGCTGATCTTGGTTGGTTCTTGCTCCCAAAAGCGGATCATGGTTCTTGCTCCCAAAAGCTGCTTGCTATGCTATCCTTCTTTCCAACCTATGTGTAGTATTCACTAGGGCACTTGCCATGCCAGGATGATACTGCTACTATGGCACATTCCCATGCTTGTGCGGCGGGGGGATGGTTGGGGGTTGCGTTGTGTGCCAGGAATCTGAACTACAACGACCTTTCTGGGTCCATCCCCGCAGACATCAGCAAGCTTAGCAACCTGCAGTATATGTGAGGAAGCAGTAGTCCAGTGCATGTGCACGGCACATGTTGCAGTGTGTTCATTCACACATGGTACTTCTATGTTGTGGTACACTGTGTTCACATGAGGTGCTGTGATGTGGTGCTGTGTTCGCATGGCCTTGCTGGGTCACCTTGTAGAGGGCATGACGCCAGCATTCATTCATAGCTGCACGTTCTCTAGCACCCGCCTTGGATTGGCATATTAGCTTGAGCCTAAGATTGGCATATTGATTGTCCTGATTGGCTCGACCTTAGGCCTTGGAGTGGTCACTTGACATGTCATGGGAAGGCTGTTTTTCCAATCTACCCATCATTCTCTTGCTCTTTCATCAAGCCTTATTCTTTGAACCCCCCCAACAACCAGCCCCATCCAATCATTCCCTTTATTCCCCCCTGTCAATCATTTAAGTCTAACATTCTCTGGGTTTCCCGCTCATGTCCGCTGCACTGTCACATGTTTGTCATGTCCTGCGTTTGAGTCGAATTTTGAGTCGAGGTGACTTTTGAGTCGACTCAAAAGTCATCCTGCCACGTGTGGTCGTGTCATGCGTTTTGAGTCTACTCATAACACGAATCATGTCATCTGTGGGCATCCCTGCACTCCAACTTTCGTTGGACCCTTACTGCAGCGGCATGCAGTGGAATGCTGTGGACGGTTCACTGCCCCTGGAGATGTCCTCCCTGAACAAGCTTACAACCCTGTGAGTCATTGTCGTTGCTACTACTGATGCTGTTGCTGCCCCTGCACCTGCCTGCCCCATACTGGTCTACTCCAAGGATGCCAGCATTAGCAGCTTCTGTACCCATCATCACCAGACTGCATCCCCCTCCAGCTTGTTACATTCACGTGCGATTTGGAGCCTTGCTTTTCTGCCACGTTCAAGGGACACTCGCGAGCCACTCACTCTCCCTGTGCTTGATTGTCTGTATACTGTATGCATGCATGCGATTGATTGTCCATGTCAGGGGGCTAAGCCACAACGCTCTTTCTGGGTGGCTGCCAGGCTTTTTAACTCGGCTCTCCAACCTTGCCATCTTGTGTGTGCCAGTCCCTCTCATCACACTCTCTCTCACCCTATGCACAGTCCCACACGGCATCCCTCACGATGCGGCCCTGCTTTTTCTCTTCGCCTCTCTTTAACGTGATCCCACTTGGCATCCCACACGACCTCTGCAGCGCGACCCCTCCCTCCTTCCCCATGCCTCTGCTGGCTATGTTTGATCCGCTCTCTCTGTCGTGCCCCAGCGATTATATATCCCCATCTCTCTGGCTGATTTTGTCTTGCAGGTTTGCCAATTTAAAGCTGTCATGACGTATTAATACGACCTTTGCAACACTCTTCTGTTGCCGTTTCTCCCCTCCTGTTGTCCCACCTCCCCGTTCCACCAACCTCCACTTCCTCTCTGCCACCCTGTTTGTTCGGCATCTCTAGATCCCTGAGCTACAACAGTTTTACAGGACCCCTGCCCGACATTTTTTCCCAGCTGCAACGACTGTCACAACTGTGAGCACAGCACAGCCCAATCGGCTGCTATTTCTGCCGACACTCCTGCTCCTGCCATTCCACCTGAATTTCTTTCCCACCTGCAAGGACTGTCGCAACTGTAAGCACAGCACAGCCACCCACCCACCCACCTACCCACCCATCAGGAGAGCTAGACATGGGCAGTCAAGTCGAGTTTTGGCTCGACTCGACTTTAAATCGAGTCGAGTCAGTTAAAATATATTTTTGACTTGCCTCGAGTCGAGTCGAGTCGACACAAGGGGAAAGGTCGATGCATCGTCCGACTCGACTTCAGAGAGTCGAATCAGCAACGCTTCGGCGAGTCGGCTGACTCCATTCCTGCTAAGCTGACTCGGTAGTCACCAATTTCAATCGTGCGGGTTCCCGTTGTCAAATTCGCCATGCAGTTTCCTTCCCCCCGTCACTCAATTTCCGCCCTTCAATCAATTTCTGTCCGTCAATCAATTTCCGCCCGTCACACAGTTTCCCTCCCCCCTCATGCGCAGTCCTTCCGTCATGCAAATTTCCCCCGTCATTCAATTTCTTCCCCCAACCCCACTGAATTCCCCCCCGTCACTGAGTTTTCATGTGCGCACAAAACGACTAGGGCGGATGGGGAGTTGGGGGGGCGACAACAATGTTTTTGTTGTTTCAGGCACATCGCGAATTCAGATCTGAACGCGACTGTTTTTTTTTTGGGGGGAAGGGGGGGGGGGGGGGGGGGGGCGGGGCGCCCCTTGAAAATACCTGAAGGTTGAGTCGAGTCAAGACAGACTTGCGAGTCGAGTGACTCGATCTCGAGTCAAAACCTGACTCAACCGCAGAAGTCGAGCACGAGCCGGCAGTTAATTTCTTTCGACTCGACTATGGCTCGACTTGACTCGACTCGACATAAATCCCGACTCGACTATGACTCGAGGCGACTCGCCTCGACTCGACTCGTTCCCATGTCTAAGGACAGCATTTTACTATCATGTAGAAGCCTTGATGATGCCCATACCGGGGATCAAGCTTACAGTGGAAGCCACCATCTCTTCATCATTGCATCAGCGTTAGCTCCCACCCGCTTGTGCCGTGCTGCCTCTGCTGCTGCCTCTACGGCTTTGCTATTTCCCATTGTGGTTTGTGCTGCCTTGCTGCCTGGATTATCCCATGTGAAGGTACCTGGAGTACAATAGGCTGCAAGGAAGCATCCCCTCATCGCTTGGAGCCCTCTCTCAGCTGCGCATCCTGTGAGTCCGAGGCTCGACACAGGGATGGACGGATGGAGTGATGCGAGGCCAGCATGTTAGTAGAGTACAGCATATGCATGTCTATATTCGTGCAAGTGTTACACCCAAAGTTGGGTGGGTGTAAAGTTTGGGTCAAGGCGTCCCAACCACATTGGGTTGGGCGCTTCCGAACCCAATTCGACCGCAACTGACGGGGGAGGGAACCAACTTGGTTGGTTTATCCAAACCATTATTTGCCCCCACGGACTTGATGGTCAGCCCAAAGCATTTTCGGTGACCATTCTCATTGGACGTTCAATAATGCATAGGCTGCCCAGCCAAGTTGCCCTGAACTTCATCTCCTAAATTCACAATTGAGATTCTTTCACAGCAAACACCACCATTTCACTTCCTCCTCTTGCCAGACTTTCCTGCACAAGTCATTCTGTAGAGGCCATAGCAGTAGAGCATCGTGATAGTGAGCAGAGCTGTTCTGCTTCTCTCTCCACACCAACCAGCAGCAAGCATTTGCACAAACATCACTGAAGCTGGCGGCATTGTTCACGGACTTCGCTCCTTGCCCTTGTGCTCCTCTGTGTGCCTATGCATGGACTTACGCACGCCCCTATGCGCAGGGTGTTGGGTGTGAATGACTTGAATGGCACCATTCCATCCTCCCTGGCTCACCTCAAGAGCCTACAAGTCCTGTGAGCACCCACCTTTGCTGCTTCTGTTTTGTTTGTTTGTTTGTTTGTTTGTTTTTTTCTTTTTTTTTTGCTCGCTTGCTTTCCATCTTCTAAGCCGTTCATGACTAACTGCACATCCAATCAATTGTTTTGTGTTGCACGCAGAGTGACCCCTTTCAATCCGCTCTTCCCGTCCTTCAACAGCCCCCCTTGTCAGCAGACCCCTCGTTTAACATTCCTCATATCGTGCCAGCACACTCGGTATATCACCCCCTTCATCCGCCCCCTTGCAACACCCGCAGGTCCCTCCGCAACTTGCGTCTGCACGGCGTGGTGCCCCCGCCTCTCAGCTCACTGCAGAAGCTGTGGCACCTGTGAGTGTCGTGTGTAAGCTGGAGCAGTATGTCAGGTAGGCATGTTTTCTCTGGGCCTGCCTTGCTGCTTCCACGCGGCACTAGGTGGCGAGCTGGCTGTGTGCCTTGTGGTCGCGAGGTGGTTCATGACTGGCGCAGCAAAGGCGTCGCTCAAATCAAAGGAGCTGAGTCGTTCAAGTGGGTCGAGTCACGGCTTGTTCCGTTCCCCAGGCATGCTGATGTATATGTTGATGGATATGTTGATGTATGGCATTCATGCTGCCACATTAGGTGACGGTTTAGCAACACCCATTTGTTAAACCCCAGACTACATGGGTGTTGGCCAATGCAGCAAATTCCTTGGGTGATTCTTCGTTTCTCGTTATGCCTGTTCTCAACCCATCGTAGGCATGAGCCATGAGCCGATCAAGCCGAGCCTTAGGCAGCTGGCCGCTTGTTGAAAAAGGGAGGATCTCGACGTGGCTGGTCATGATCTGGAGAGCTTGTTTCCTTACTATAACGGGATGTTTTACCCTAAGGAAAACATAATTTGGGAATTTAGATGACAACGGATGGATATCAGGACGGTAGGTAGGAGCGAAGGCAGGCATCAACAAGAATGGGACGTGCCTCACTTTTGTGTGACGATGCTGTCGACCATTTGATGAGCTGAGGCCCGGTTGATCAAGTGACGATGCCGACCTGCCTTGCATGCATTGCACGGAACACTCAGTTGGCCTGGCACGACTTGTGATGACCGGAACCCTTCAGTTCAGTTCAGAAGAGGAGTTAAGGCAGTGGGTTGAGTCATGGGCGCATGCCCCCATTATATTCCCTTGCTTACTTCCTTGTTCGAGCTGCCTGCTTTGGTTGTTCGCTTCTCTTCGCGTCTCTGTTCATGTTGTTCAAGCGAGACATTGGCTTGTCGGCGTGTCTCGCTTGTGTGAGTCGGCAAGCCGGTGCGTCGTGCCGGGTGGTGTGGTTTCCACTCGGGGCGAGCCAGCTGCGTTTTTGATTTGACTGAAAACTTGAGCCACGCGGTCTGATCTCCTCTCGGGGCGAGCCGATTTTTTAGGCTCCTCAAAAAAGTCAAGCTGGGTGGTCTGGTCTTCACTCGGGACAAGCCGGCTGCGGGAGGGAAGTGACCACTTGACGAGTCGAGTGCCAGACCCAATCCACACACTCTCTTGTTTGTCAAAGCTCCACGCACTTCCTGGACCAGGTAATGACACGCTTAATCCAAAATTCTGTCGCATGTCACAAGGGCACGCATGAAGGCAGGTGAGTTAACAAGCAAGTCAAGGAAGTCTCGATCCTTATGGCGGCATATGATGTGCCTGAATGTGTGTGGCAGGGGGCTGCCACGTATTGACACGATGGCTCCAAACTGGGCCTCCATTAGACTCAATCCTCATGGTGGCATGTGATGTGCCTGCATGTGTGTGGCAGGGAGATGACATCAACATTTCTGTCAGGATCCCTGGCGCCCATTGTGGCTCGCATGACAAGCCTGAAGACATTGTAAGCACCAAGGGAAGGAGGTCAAGTGTAGGCGGCGAGCATGTGGCACGCAAAGTGGCTCGTAGCATGACGTGTGTGCCACTGATCCTCATGAGCTTGCTCAAGATTCTCGGATATGTGGTTGGTATGGCAGTTTCTACATCCTCTTTCACTCTATGTCGGATTAAACGCGTCTAGCGTATATATGCGTGTCGTATATACACTAGCGTTTGCACGCAACACGCTTGAGGGTCGGATTAGGCATACACTTTTTCGGGCAGGGAAAGATCATTTCGGGCAGGGTGGAAAAAATGTACCGCCTATCTCATCTCACTAAAACGTGCCCTAGCATTTTCCTGAGTCCTATCGGTGGGTGGGGTGGGGCGTGGGTAGACATCATATCTAGAGAGAGGTGTAGTGTTGGAGAGGCTTGTCAAGTAGGAATGTGCGGGGACTCTGCTGGAAGCGAGAATGCAGGTAGGAAATGACGGGTTAGGAGTTGGGCCGGATGGTATGTACTAGTGTGAGATTTGTTGGGGGGTTGAATTCGATAGGTTGGAGTTTGTGGATGATGTGGTTTTCAATGCGGTAGAAGGAATGGGTTCCAATGCCTAGATGGGATCTGAAATTTGACATTTTGATTTGAGATGTGCCTGGAAACTTCGAAGTCAGATCCCAGCTTCCCTAGACCACGGATTTGCATTTCGACTCAGGCGAAATGCTCACCAAAAAATTCGCATATTTTCCGCGTTTTTTTTTTTTTTTTTTTTTTTTTTTTCCGGGCTGCCTGAAAATTTTTATGGCTGCTTATCGCGTATTCGCTAGCGTTTAGCGTGTTGCGTGTACACGCTAGTGTACATACGCTAAACGTGAAGGGCATGTTGATAAAGTTGCCACGTTCGGTTTTTCCATATCCTCGTACTATACCCTCCTTGCTGTCGTGCGCCATACAACGGGCATGTCTCTTGTTGAAGGTTGCTGCTCAATGGTGATTGCGTATGCACTGCCTCCATCCCCATGCATGTTCCTGTCAGTTCACAACTTCATTGTGTTTTTTTATCCAGCCCATGACTATCGCATCCCTTCTCCATCAGCATCTCTGTAGGGATACACTCTACAACGGTTGGGAGCTAGACTACGGGGTTGGCACGAGTTCTATGAGTGATCGTAGATTTAACTACGTTTCTTAGCACTTGCACACTCACGGTAAAATTTGACAAGAGTTTCCACTAGCAAAGTTGAGAATACAGAATGATTGAACAAGCAATGGTCGACCGTCTACCAGCGTTGCGTAGAGGAGCCGCGCCAGCGGTGCAGAAAGGAGGCCTGCCAACAGAGCAGGTCGATGATGTGCCAACGCTGCAGCAAAACGGCTGTCCAGTGTTGCACCCGTAGAAGACAATAGTGCGCACTGGACAGCCGTTTTGCCCGAAGTCGCCTTCGCCATCGCCACCTCGGCGTCGTTCGCCTGCCTCCGCAGAACATCGCGAAGGTAACATGGTCGACTGGGTCGACCACCCAAAGCCCTAGTCCACGACCTCCCTTGTCGACCACAGCTCTCGCCTAGGACCGCCCTGGTCGACGGACCCCTTCGTCGACCAACATGGTCGACCGCAGCCGTCGAGCTCCATCTTCGAGAGCTCCTCGACAGACCTGCGCAAGCCAACGAACTGCTTCGTCAACCTCCCCTGTCGAACTCGACCGCCGGCTCCCGTCGACGGCGGCATTGCAGCGGTCGCCTGCAGGTCGACATCTCCGTCGACCAGCACGTGTCGAACCCTGCAGAACAGTCGGCCGCACCACCCACGCGCCCGACCAAGGAAGTCAGCGTCGCCTAAGCGAGGGCGGGGCCAACGACCCACTCCCGTCAACACTCCCCTGCCGCGCTGACGCTTGGGCACCCAACCCACACGGCAGAGCTATACGGAGAAAACTCGTCCTCGTCGTGCACCCCACACATAGCACGCCGTCACCGCACCAGCCGTGCAGAAGGGCACGGCACCTACTGCTGCACGTCGTCATCACCGTCGCCGACGTCCGCGAGGCGCACCAGGCCGATCGCGATAGAGCACCACTTAAAGGCCGGAAAGTGCATAGACTTTGTCAGGAAGTCGGTCGGCTGCCCATCTGCTGCAGCCAAGCGTAGCGTCGCTCCATGTGCTTGAGGTTGCCCTTCAGCCCCAAGCCCTCAGCGACTGTGATAACCGACTGGTTGTCCATCGAAGGACAGTTGGCGTCCCAGCGTCGAGCAACTGGAACTCTGCAAGAAGGAAACGAAGTCGACGTCCCTCTTTGCCGGCTTCCGCGGCGCGACGTACTCCTTCTCGGTCGAGGAGAGCGTCACGCATTTGATGCGCTGGCTCGACCAAGAGACCGCGGCCCTTTCGAAGACGAACACGTAGCCACCTGTGCTCGTCCGGTTCTGCTGATCGCCCTCGTCGTCGGCTTACACGTAACCAACCAGGCACAGCGACTCTGGTCCACTGCCAAACTGTAGGGCGGTGTCACCGGTGTCCGTGAGGTAGGCGAGGCAGCGGTCGACCTCGCGCCAGTGCTGGTCACTCCTCACCGTGAGGCCGCTCCCCAGCTTGCTGCACGCAAAAGCGATGTCGGGCCTCGTCGTCGTCGCCGCAAACTGCAGCGAGCCGACCTTCTGCCGGTACTCCTCCTCCTTGCGCGCTTGAGCATCCTCGTCTTCGAACGTAAGCTCAGCGTTGGCGTCGACAGAGACTGGCGTCTTCGGGGTTCGCTCAGTCTGCTCCTCGTCGATGAAGCGCCTGCGCAGCTTGTCGACGTAGCTCTGCTGATGCAGCCACAGCTTCCTCGCCGACCTGTCACGCACGATCTCCAGCCCGAGGTACTTCTCAACCCACTTGATCTCGCGTAGCTCAAAGGCAGCCTCCAACAACTCCTTGAGCATCACGGTGCTGCTGCTTGTGGCGAGCAAGTTGCCGACATAGACGAGCACCCAGCACGTCACACCGTCGTCGCCGACCTTGAAGTACAGCGCATCATCGACCTGGCTCTTCTTCCAGTCGGCGCCAGTCAACACGTTGTCGAGCGCCTTGTACCACAGCAGCGACGACTGCTTCAGCCCGTACAAACTCTTCAGCAGTTTGCACACCGGGCTGGTCCCGTCGCCATAGTAGTCCGGCTCGTACATGTACAACACCCTGTCGAGCTTGCTTTGCAGGATGGCGTTCCTCATGTTGAGCTGCGTCAGGTTGAGGTCGAGGACAGCGACGATGCTGAGGAAGATCCTCAATGTGATGTAGCTGCTGATCGGCGCGTACGTCTCATCGTAGTCGGCGCCATACACCTGCGTGAAGCCTTTCACGACCAACCTCGCCTTCTCCCGGGCGACCGTGTCGTCGACGTGGTACTTGGTCATCAGGACCCACCGATTCTTTATGATGTTGACCCCGCGCAGGCGTTCGACCAGTTCCCACGTGCCATTGCCGATGAGGCTGCAGATCTTCTTGTTCATGGCGGCCTTCACCGCCTTGCCTTTCCAGCTCGCCAGCGCCTCCTTCACCATCATCGTTGCGATGTCCCATCGGTAATCGTGGTCGGCGTGCACGTCAGGGTCAAGCTCAGGCAGGTCGACGTCAGTGTCCGCTTCGTCGAGCAGCGTGGTGAAGGCGGCTGGTGTTAGACAAGCGTGGAAGCTCAGCCGCTCGGGCGGCCGTCGAGCTCGGCCCAAACGTCGCAGCTCAGGCTTCTCGACCGGTACCTCCACCACATCACTGTCGGTGGACTCCTCCCCCTCCAACAACTCCCCTTCATCGTTGACCACCTCGTCGTCGACGAGCTGCTTCACCAACATTCGCTCCTCGACCAACTCCTCCCCTCTCTTCGGCCCGCTTGCTGACTTCCCGGGCTGCTGCTCCCCTGTCGGCGCTCTCCTGGTGCCTCCTTTTCCACCAGCTCCCCTGTCTGCTGTTCCCTTGTCGTCGACGGCTTCACGGCCTCGTCGACGAGCTTGGCGTCTCGTCCGCCACCGGCAATGCCACTGGCCGGCACCACAGGCGACGCCTCATTGCTCCCCACATCGCCGGAGGTCGACGACCCGGTCGACACAGGGACGTCCGCGAGGAGGGGTAGGGTAACCGGAACAGGAGGAGGAGTAGAGGGCGGGACATCCCCGACGTCCTCATCAGCAGGCTTGTCAACCTCGGCGAGCAGCGAGAACGTCGCCGTCGAGATGTCCGTTGGCGGGTGCGCCTGCGTCCGCCCCGACGCCGGCCCATACTTCGCCTTCCACACCTCCAGCGACAGCGTCTCGTAGAAGATGACCTTGACGACGCAATCACCTTGTTGTTGGTCAAGTCCAGCACCTCTCAGTCTTTGCTCTCCGGCGATGCACCGAGGTGAAGTCCCCACAGTGCTGCTCGGGGTGTGCTGTCGTCCCCGGCGGTGTCGTCGACCGCTCCAAGCAGTTGCGCACCCAGACGGCCTGCCGCAGGGCGAGGTGCCACCAGTGGTGCTGCACACCCATGTGCAGCAGCATCGTGCGCACGACTTCGACAATCGTACGCATCTCCCGCTCTTCCATACCGTTCCGCTGCGGATTGTACGGGCACGTCAAGTCGTGGACGATGCCCTTCCCGTCGACGAAGGCGGTAAACTCCTTCCAGAGGAACTCACCACCGTGGTCCGATGCCCTTACCAATGTACAGATCATCCGTCTCCTTGTACGTCGACAGAATGAACCGCCACGCCTGGTGGGCAGCATGAAACTCCGCGCGTAGCTCCACGTCGTCCACGTCCGGTGCCGGCACGTCGCCATCGGCGAAACCCTTCAGCCCGGCGATCTCCAGCTGGGGCTCGATGGACTCCCTCCACGTGATAAGGTCCCGTCGACCTTGCAGTGGCACTGTCACGGCGATCTTGTCTGACGAGGACCTAAAGTACCCATACGCTGGCGCGATCCCGCCCACCGTCACGTGCGTCGTCGACGTGGGCCTCCCACTGCTTTGCTGGAGTAAACGACGTCGACCCTCGCGACCACCGTCGACCGCTGCACTTGCGCCTGGCTCCCGCGGACTCCACCGTCAGCCTTGATCACACCTCTCTTCTTCGTGTCCTCCGTGGACGACGCCCTCGTTTCGCACCGGTCGAGGTGAAGCAGGTCGGGAGGGGTGTTTTGTCGCCCACTGCGCATGGTTCCCAAGATAACCACATCCAAGAGGAGTACCTGCCCGAACTCGCCAGCCGCGTGGCGTCTCGTCTCATCAGACAATCGAGCCTCTAAGGTGTCCGCTACACCCGCTTCAACTACGGGGTCGACCATGGCGACTAAGACGGCTGCCGGCCTACGAACGACTTAGGTAAGTGAAAGGTCAGCTACTAGTTTGAAAGTTCCTTGCGGGGCCGTCCACGCTCACCGCACCATGTAGGGATACACTCTACAATAGTCGGGAGCTAAACTACAGATTTGGCATGAGTTCTATGAGTGATCGCAACTTTGTCTGCGTTCCTTAGCACTTGCACACTCACGGGAAGATTTTGCAAGAGTTTTCCACTAGCAAAGTTGAGATTACAGGATGATTGAACAAGCTATGAAAAGAATGATCTTATCAGTGACTAGCAACCTAGTAGCCAGGCAAGTCAACTGTCAGCACAGCATAGTCGATCGCCTGCCAGCGTTGCGTACAGGAGCCGCGCCAGCGCTGCAGAAAGGCGGCCTGCCAACTGAGCTGGTCGACCGCGTGCCAACGCTGCAGCAAGGCGGCGTCCAGCGTTGCACCGTCACGCATCTGTCAGCTATTATCTGCGCTTGACAAGCCACATCGACTTCGGGATACCAGCCCGAAGTCGCTTTCACCATCGCGGCCTCGGCGCCGTTCGCATTCCTTCACAGAACCTCGCCGAGGTAACTTGGTCGACTGGGTCGACCACCCAGAGCCCTGGTCGACGACCTCCCTCATCGACCACAGCTCCCGTCGAGGACCGCCCTGGTCGACGGACCCCTTCACTGACCGACACAGTCGACTGCAGCCGTAGAGCTCCATCTTCGGCAGCTCCTCAACAGACCTGCGCAGACCGACGAACTGCCTCGACAACTCTGTCGAACTCGACCGCCGGCTCCGTCGATGGCGGCATTGCTGCGGTCGTTTGGAGGTCGACAACTCCGTCGACCAGCACGTGCCGAACCCTGCACAATAGTCGGCCGCACCACCCGCGCGCCTAACCAAAGAAGTCAGCGTCGCCCAAGCGAGGGCGGGGCCAACAACCCACTCCCGTCAGCAATCTCCATCCCCGTCCCCATCCCCATCCCCATCCCCATCCCCATCCCCATCCCCATCCCCATCCCCATCCCCATCCCCATCCCCATCCCCATCCCCATCCCCATCCCCATCCCTATTTCAACTCCATCCCCATCCCCATCCCCATCCCGATCCTCATCCCCATCCCCATCCCCATCCCCATCCCCATCCCCATACCCATCTCCCTCCCCATCCCCATCGCCATCGCTGCCTGCAGGATCGTGTCAGGCAACCAGTTCACGGGGGCCGTGCCCATGCCAGCCTCCAAGAGCCTGGCCACGGTGGACGTGCAGAGCAACTACTTCTCCTCCGCTCCCACCCGCCCCAAGAACTGCTCCGCTGTGCGCCTCTGGCTCTTCGACAACTGCCTGCCCACCACCACCACCCTCTGTGGGCTCAACCAGGAGCAGCGAAGCAAGGAGAGCTGCACCGCGTTCTGTGGGGTGGGGCAGGGCGGGGCGCTGTGCGGCGGGCATGGGTACTGCTTTATGAATGATAGCAGCAGCAGTGTGGCTGAGTGTGTGTGTGAGGAGCACTACTCCACTCGCAACGACCCGCACACATGCACTTACACGAGTAAGCAGATTAATGCATGAGCAAATGCTAAGCACCGCTTGGCGTTTTGTGTCTTCCACTTGAGCATCATTAGCACTGTGTCATCATTCCTGCACCAAGCCATCTTCCTGCCTCATCTCTCCCAGTTCCCATCCTGTTCTCTTTCACCCCTCCAGTTGACCCTGTGCAGGCCTCCTCTGCTTCCACCCCCATGATGCTGAGTGGCTCGGCGCTGACCTCTGCTGGCGGCGCGCTGCTGCTCACCCCCAAGGCCAACGTCAAATGGGGCACGGCTTTCACAGCGGCGCCTCTCCCCCTCTTCTCCTACTTCAACACCAAGGCCACATGCGGTTACCAGCTCGCCTTCAATGCATCCCTTGCCTTCTCGCTCGACCCGGACTCAGAGGCGGGCGGGGATGGGCTCATGTTTGTCGTTGCTGCGGCGATGCCAGACCGGCTGGGAAGGGTGGGGAAGCGGAGTGTGGCAGTAGAGTTTGACTCGGTACTGAGTGTAAAGCACAGCCACCCCAACGACAACAACGTTGGTGTCAATGTGGGCGGCTCACCTGTGTCCCTCGCCTCTGCCACGGCCCCTCTCATCCTCAACGACGCCCACACCAAGCACGCCTGGATCCACTACGACCCCACCAGCGGTGGCACCCTTCCGAGTCTTCCTCTCCTCCGACCCCCAGCAGCCCCCCACCCCCACCCTCCGAGCTCGATTTTCCCTCTGCTCCATCCTGCATCCCAAGGCGTCCAGTGCTTCATTCTATATCGGCTTCAAAGCGGCGTCCACCGCTGGCCCACAAGCACACTTGATCCTCAACTGGACCTTCACTGCAGGTATGCACATCTCAGGTATGTATGCCCCTCTCATGTATGTATGTGTGTGCCTCTTAGGTATGTGCCTCTCAGGTATGTGCCTCTCAGGTGTGTGCCTCTCAGGCTGATTTTTATGGGATATACACGTTTCGGTTTCACTACCGTTGAGACTTGTCCCGCTCCTCTTGTCGCTTGTATCCAATTGGATTATGCCTCCATATCAATGCCTTCTGTTACTGCTTGCCACTAACCCACTCCGTCCATGCGGTTTGCTACTGTGGGTGCAGATGTTCTGCTCAACCCACGATTTGACCCTTCAAGTGAGTATGCTTGGCTTTTCTTTCTCACCGTGTGTGAGTCTATTCCTATAGATTCTTTCTCCCCTTGACTCTTAACACGGCTCCTCTCAACTCCAAACCCTCGCAACTCCCACTCCTCCTTCCTCCGTGCACCAGACTTGGCGTTGGGGTTGGTGGATTTTTTCTCATCGCAGGACTTCAACTCCTTCTTCCACTACGCCAGTGCGGGCTTCAACCCCACGCAGGACAATAGCCCCGCGTGGGCTTTCAAGTCCTACAGCACCTGGGTCTGGCATGAATTTGTCTGGCCTGTCAAGAACCAACGGGGCTGCGGTGAGTCGTATGTCTGCAAAAGGTGTGAATGGTAGGATAGGCACAAGGTATGGCTTAAAGTTGAAATTTGTGATGAGGGGGTTCTTGAAATGAGAGAACTGAATGCGTCGAAGAAGCTTCCGCACCCACAGGCTTTTTTCCGGGTCCTCGAGACGCTTCTCCGTTCCTTCCATTAGCTGCAGCAGATCATAGTGGTCAAGTATGTTCTCCATCTTGAAAATCCACTCAGCAAAGTTGTCCAGGCAAGGCCAAACACTCTAAGCTCATCCTTAAAACGACCAAAACTTGGTTGCATAGAAGCTAGAGATGAGCACCGGGCAAACATCGAACATGTTCGCCCGAACAGTCAGGAACACATTCAGTGGGCGAACCGAACATGTTCGGTTTGCCCGAACACTTTTACAGAAATGATATGCTTGATGTTCGCCCACTGTGGGCGAACATCTTAAAGGGGGGCGAACAGTTGACATGTTCGGGTTCGCCCACTGCAGGGGGGGGGAATCTGCTTATGTTTTAGTGGATATGAGCTTTTGTTGGGATATTGGATGCTCATTCCTTTACCGTTCCCACCCCTTGGATTCACCCTTAAACCATGAAAACCTGTTTCAGAATCATGAAATGGGGTCCACTGAACTAAACCAATGCTGAAACTAGAAGTTTCCACCAAGGTAACCGTGACGTTGTATAACATAAGGCGATATCTGCTTGTACAACCCTAAAAAACGGCCTTATGTTTGCCTAACTAACAGTTGATGGTGGCGCTAGTTTAGGAAGGTACTATGGGTGGCGGATTGGCTAGCCTTAACCCTAGAAAAGTAGATCGAGCTGTGAAACAGCACGATCTACTTTCCCCGTCACTTTCGCTGCTGGAATGATGTTCGGGAGAACACGATACATGCCCAAACATGTTCGATGTTCGGGCATTTTACATTTGTGCGCCGCGAACATGTGGGCATTTAACAAAAAAAAAAAAAAAAAAGTTTGGTTCGCCCCCGGACAAGTTCGGGCGAACCGGACCCGTGTTCGCCATTTTGCTCATCCCTTATGGAAGCCATGGGGGGATCATGGGGTTGGTCTTGAGCTTGGGCTTCTCCACTGCCGCCGACCTCTGCCACCCCTTTCCTCAGGTCTAGCCATTGTCGAAACTGCTTCAAGAGGCTCTGATACCACATGTTATAATCACAATCTGCTCAAATGTGCCGAAAATGAAAGATAGAGTGCACAGACGGATTTCTGCAGAGCAGTTTTAAAACTTGATAGCGGACTGACCACATCACTAAATGGCGTGTTATTAATTGAATTTGGAGCGTTTTACCGCTGTCTACAATTACCAAGTTGAATTACACGATTTGATAAAGAACAAACAACATGAGAGTAGTTTGAGCGAGCGGCGGGTCTAACAAAGCAGCTATAGCGTTAAGACATAAGAAAGGTACGAGTAGGGAATGACTCTCTGCCTCTACAAACCCCAAAAGTCGAGTTCTAGGGAGCTGGAATAGTGCCACATAGTCCTCAACCTCGAAAGGTGTGAAAATCACACCACCATAAAATTCTACACAAAGAACTACGTTACAATACACAATACAATGAACTATTTTCACTATCTTGGTGTTTTCTGTGTTTTCGCAAACTCTGAAATCATTGATTCTTGAAACCAAGACTCCTGGTTTTGAGCATGAATTCTTTCTTGAGTTTTTCAATGCTTGCTACACACACCTGCGACACGCCGAACTATCGACACACGTCATAATAGAAAGCGCACACGACACGCAAACGACAACATGACATGCGACTAGCGAAAATTCGCTATTGACTCGACACACACATTCAACATCATGACTCATCATTCACACACTATTATAAGCATGAAATATATATTATCCTCCTATACCATTCCATAGAAGCACGCACAAAGACAGCAAACTGAGTGCAAACCATAGAATTGTACCAACAAAGGTATGGCTTGGAGTTGAAATATGTGATGAGGGGGTTCTTGAAATGAGAGAATTGAATGTGCCAAAGAAGCCACATGTAGCCACACATCGAGTGAGATTAATGGTCGCACTTATCATTTTGCACACTATGCCCTCCCCATGCCATGCTCCCGCACAACGCTTGCACACTCTTTGTGCGTCCCTGCCAAGTTTGTGGGTGGGAGTGAGCAGCATGGAGCATGTGAACCTTGTTGCGTACCTTGTTGTCTCCCATCCCACCACAAACCGTTTGTGAATGTCATAGCAGCATTTTCTTACAAGCTATCTTGAGATCAACCTGCCAGCAATCGTTATTCGTAATAGACTATGAGAGTATATGGGTCCGATCCCATTGTGCCCCCCTCATGCTCTCCTCCAGGTGATTGCTGGGCGTACGCAGTGGTGGCAGCGGTGGAGGCAGCCCACGGGATCGCGGGCGACTGGGCGCAGGCCCCCGTGCTGTCGGTGGAGCATCTGCGCCTCGCCCTCTCCTCCAACTGCGACGGTGGCTCGCCCACCAAGGCGCTGCAGTTCCTCCTCAACGCCACCGCGCAGGGCAAGGGCTTGCTGGAGGAGGCTGCGTACTCTCAAGGGCTGCTCTTGAAGGAAGATCGTTGGTGAGTTGCTGCATGTATTAATTATTTATGTTTGGGCATTGTTGCTTGTATCTGCTGTTGGTGGGGGGTTGTGACACTGTTTCTATGAATGTTGTTCTGTCTGCACTCTATGTCTCTCTCCATATTCATCTTCCTGCCCAGGTTAGCACCCCCAAGTACT